CGTCCGTGGTGCGGGTGCCGTCCGTGGTGCGGGTGACATCCGTGGTGAAGGTGATGTCCGTGGTGCGGGTGCCGTCCGTGGTGCGGGTGCCGTCCGTGGTGCAGGTGACGTCCGTGGTGCAGGTGCCGTCCGTGGTGCAGGTGCCGTCCGTGATGTGAGTGACGTCCGTGGTGCGAGTGACGTCCGTGGTGCGAGTGATGTCCGTGGTGTGGGTGCCGTCCGTGGTGCGGGTGCCGTCCGTGGTGCGGGTGTCGTCGGTGGTGCGGGTGACATCCGTGGTGCGGGTGCTGTCCGTGGTGCGGGTGACGTCCGTGGTGCAGGTGACATCCGTGGTGCGGGTGACGTCCGTGGTGCGGGTGACGTCCATGGTGCAGGTGACGTCCATGATGCGGGTGACGTCCGTGGTGTGGGTGACATCTGTGATGCCGTGACGTCCGTGGTGCGGGTGACGTCCATGGTGCGGGTGACATCCATGATGCGGTTGATGTCCGTGGTGCAGGTGACGTCCGTGGTGCCAGTGACGTCCGTGGTGCGGGTGACGTCCGTGGTGCGAGTGACGTCCATGGTGCGGGTGACATCCATGATGCGGGTGACGTCCGTGGTGCGGGTGACGTCTGTGGTGCGGGTGACGTCCGTGGTGCGGGTGTCGTCGGTGGTGCGGGTGACATCCGTGGTGCGGGTGCCGTCCGTGGTGCGGGTGACGTCCGTGGTGCGGGTGACATCCGTGGTGCGGGTGACGTCCGTGGTGCGGGTGACGTCCGTGGTGCAGGTGACGTCCATGGTGCAGGTGACGTCCATGATGCGGGTGACGTCCGTGGTGCGGGTGACGTCCGTGATGTGGGTGACGTCCGTGGTGCGAATGACGTCCGTGGTGTGGGTGCCGTCCGTAGTGTGGGTGACATCCGTGGTGCGGGTGCCATCCGTGGTGCTGGTGACATCCATGGTGCGGGTGACGTCCGTGGTGCGGGTGCCCGTGGTGCGGGTGCCGTCCGTGGTGCGGGTGCCGTCCGTGGTGCAGGTGCCGTCCATGGTGCGGGTGTCGTCCGTGGAGCGGGTGACGTCCGTGGTGCGGGTGACATCCGTGGTGTGAGTGCCGTCCATGGTGCGGATGCCGTCCGTGGTGCGGGTGCCGTCCGTGGTGCGGGTGACATCCGTGGTGAAGGTGATGTCCGTGATGCGGGTGACGTCCGTGGTCCGGGTGACGTCAGTGATGCGGGTGACGTCGGTGATGCGGGTGACGTCGGTGATGCGGGTGACGTCCGTGATGCGGGTGACGTCGGTGATGTGGGTGACGTCCGTGGTGCGGGTGACGTCCGTGGTGCAGGTGACGTCCGTGGTGCGGGTGACGTCGGTGATGCGGGTGACTTCCGTGATGCGGGTGACGTCCGTGATGTGGGTGACGTCCGTGGTGCGGGTGACGTCGGTGATGCGGGTGACATCGGTGATGCGGGTGACGTCCGTGATGCAGGTGACGTCCGTGGTGCGGGTGACGTCGGTGATGTGGGTGACGTCCGTGGTGCGGGTGACGTCCGTGATGCGGGTGACATCCGTGGTGCGGGTG